CTTAAAACAATACACATTTCATATCTTAATTTCTGTGGATCAGGAATCCAGACACTGCTTATCTGGGTCCTCTGCTTATCACACTGCTTATCAGGGTCTCACAGGCTTCCAGAAAGGTGTTGGCTAGGGTTGGGGACTCACCTGCGACTCTAGTGGGGAAAGATTCACTTCCAAACTCACAGGACTGTTGGCAGGATTCAGTACTTGTCCAGAGGCTGCCCCTAGTTCCTTGCTACATGGGCCTTTTTATAAATCAGCAAGAGAAGAGTCTGCTGGCAAGAGGCAAGTTAAAATCTCTCTACACGTAATCACAGAAGTGACATCTTATCACCTTGGCTCTATTCTGAGGATCAGAAGCAGGGCCCAGCCCACGTTCAGGGGAAGGGGTTTCACAGGGGCATGAATGCCAAGAGGTAAGGGTCGCTGGGAGCCCTCTTAGAGTCTGCCCTAAGACAACCCAAATGTTCACGCAGAAGGACAAGGAAAAATATGTCGTGGTAGCGCCACACCATGGGAAACACTCCAGTCTTTAATAAAAAATGATGTCACTATATGTGTGCATAGACTTGGTGAGATTTTCTAAACTTATTGCTAAGTGAATAAAGCAAGCAAAACTATTTTGCAAAGAATGCACACATTGTGACACCAGTTGTGTGGAAACAAAATATTTTTCCAAATGAAACCTGTTTATGTGCACATATATATGCATTTAATTACAAAGAAATAAGCTTGGGAGGAGACACATCCATTCCACTGATTGTGGTTTCCGTTGGAAGGAGGAGTGGGTTCCGGGTGGAAGTGGAAGAAAACAGGCAACCATCTCATTTTATATCACACTTATTAATTGTTTGGTTTCTGTTTTTAAATTTTTTTTACAGTGAGAATATATCTGTGTGTTGTATATCTATCTATCTATATATTTATTAAAAAAAAAAGAACTGAAGCTGGGAAGCTGGGGTTTGAATCGAGCAGTGTGCATTTCTGGAAGTGCAACATGTCATTCACAGACGTGTCCTGATGGTGCCTTTCCACTGTGCAGAGTCTCACGGTGTGTGTGGTGTTCAGCACAAGCTTTACCTCGGATGTTGCCAACTGCATGAGGGCTCCGCTGTCCCAGACCCAGGAGCTGCTCTGGGAGCACAGGGAGGGCTGTGGCGAGCTGGCAGCTGGATCCCATCGAGCACCGTCCTTCCCCAGACACAAAAGAAGAACCACAGTAGCCACCCAGAGTGGAGTCTGGTGCTGCGGGGCACTTCTGGGAGGCCCCACGAAGGGAGGTGGGACAAAGAATCCCTTTTGTGATGTGTCTTATTGTCAGTTCCGAGACCCACTTCATCATCACATGGGCCAGGCCCCCACGGTGGAGGCGCAGTTCAAGAACCACTGGCCAGTGACCTTGGGCAGGCTGCCCCATCCCTCTGCACCCTGGTGGCCTCTTCTGTAAGATGGTGATCCCGTCATGTCACTCCATAGGGTTGCTGTGAGGACTAAATGAGCTGATACAACTGACACCCTTGGCTTAGTGCCCAGAACATACGAAGCGCGCTGGGAAAGCTACCAGCTGCTGCTGTCGCTGCTGCTATTGTCCTTCGCTACCAACAAAAGGCAGCATTTACTAAACCCTTACCAGGTTCCTGTTCGTGGCTCTGTGACAAGTGCCCCCAGCCTCCCAGTGTGGAAGCTACCTTTAATCTTCCCATTTTACAGCCGGAAACTCTGAGGCTTAGAGAGAGTGAGTTACCTCCCAAGTCCGTAAGCTGGGCAGTGACGGCGCCAACATCAGAACCTAGGGCTACGCGTCTCCGAAGCGTCTGCTCTGCACAGCCCGGCTCTGCTGCTTCACAGGCCTCGGCGCCCATGTGACTTCTCTCTCGGGACATTGGGAAGGCCCCACCAGGCATCAGAGGACTTGGGCATGGATCAGAGCACTCCGGAGAGGACCGGCCAGGATCCACCGCCATAAAGACACGACAGAAACACAAGGAGAAATGGACAGTAACTAGGCAGTGTGGGACGCTGTCCACAACTGCTTCAGCAACCAACCCATCAAGGAAATGAAGACACAAAGATAAATTAGGTCTAAATTACACAATTAAGATGCTTTTTGTTAGTTTCATGACCCACTTGTGTGGGTCACATTACTCAACAGAGAAGATTCATTCTTGTCACACACACAGAATATTTACAAAAAATGACCAAGACTTCCCTTTCCTCTGTGGGTGCATCTAGAGGCACAGCCACAGAACTTTAGGACTTCAGAAAGAACTTTCTGGAGTGCCTGTCTAACATGATGGTCCATGTGAGCTTCTAGAGATGTTTATGCACACATCCCATTTTATTATAATGACTAATAGAAATGTCGTCTTCATTTTACTTAAGAGGCCACCAACAGTCAGATGATAATCTCCCCAAGGCATGCCATTTGCAAACCATGGTCCCGAGGAGGACACCGCATAGGCTCCCTTGTCCTGGGGCCCGGCAGCGTCTTTCTTCCCACGTGCTGTCCCTTCTCAGGAGTCAGGGGTTCAATGACAGTTTTATGGAAAAAAAGTTTCTTGAAGTAAGTTTTCCAAACACCATTCTTTTCCTCAAACTTGTTTTCTGAAATAAAGCTTCAGACTAAGAATTCAAGCCTGATAATCAAAAAGGCAGATAATGACAAGCGTTGGCAAGGACACGCAAAACTTGAGACCTTCTTACTTTGTTGACTGAAATGCAAGCTGGTGCAGCCATTTTGGAAACTAGTTTGGTAGTTCCTCAAAATGTTAAACATAGGATTGCCACTCCTAAGTACCTACCCAAGAGAGCTGAAACCATGTCCATGCAAAAACCTGGACATTGATGTTCACAGCAGCATTATTCATAATAGCTAAGAAGTGGAAACAATCCAAATGTCCATCGGCTGATGAATGTACAAACAAGAAATCATATACCCACACAATGGATAAAAAGGAATGAAATAATCACACATGCTACAAAATGGATGAACCTTGACAACATTATGCTGAGGGAAAGAAACCAGTCACAAAAGGCAACATGGTGTGTAATTTGATGTATATTAAATGTCCAGAATAGACAAATCTATAGGGACTGAAAGGGGATTAGTGGTTGCCTATGGTTTGGGGGTGGGTGAGATGGGAGTGACTGTTGATATGCATTGTGTATGGGGTTTTTCTATGGGGTATTGTGAATGGTCTAAAATTAAATTATGGTGATGGTTGGACAACTATGAATACACTAAGAACTATTGAATTGTTCTCTTTTGGGAAACTTTTATGGTATGTGAATTATATCTCAGTAGAGCTGTTTAGAAAAAGAATGCAAGCCTGACTTGCCAAGATGCCCTGCTTTTGAAAACTAAATGTACAAACAGCTGAAATTTGCTATTTCCCACAGGAGAGTGGACAGAACTGAGGGGGTGACTTTCAGTGGGAATATCAGTAAGACCAGAAAACGAGGCTTTGGGGCCTTTTTTTGAGTGTCTCAAAGAATCAAATAGATGTGTGTGTGCATAGGAAGGATATTCTAGATGAACGATATGATGAGGCCAAGCTCCAGCGTGAAAAGACATGAACAGAAAACCTTGACCAGCATTTTTTTTAAAAGACATTATTTAAGTTAAACAAAGAAGACATACTGTATTTTTAAAGCATACTTACAAATACTCACAGGCGTGAATAGATTTTGGATAATTTATATTGGAAGTCAAAGGAAAAAAATAAGAAAAAAACCTTAGAAATTCACTTTGTAAGAAATGTTTTTAGGCAACCTTTATTCTTTCAAGCAAAATTTATTCACAGTGGCTTCCAATAAGAAATTATTTGATCTGGAGTTGCCAATAATGTTTTTAAAACTTTAACCGTGAAAATCCCAGCACACCCGCTTTCAGTAATCATCTGATCAAAGAGAAAATGTCTCTTTCTTTGGGTGGATGGCTGATTCCGAGTGGTCGCAGGCAAGCCAAGCTCTGATGAGCTGGCGCGTGGCATTCTTATGGAACATGTGCTCTCTTAGGGACAAAGCCTTCGCGTGGCAGGCGGTCAGAGTGAAAACTGTCTTGAATCCTTCAGTGAGGTGATTCATTCCCAGCCCAGGGCCAAACAGAGGGCAGAAAGATATGTTAAACAGCTTTATAGATCTTCTCCCCTCTAAAGACTTGTCTCAGCAAGCTTTCTATCCTATGTCTTTTCTACTTTTGGTTTTCTGCTCAGAAATTCTATGATTCTCCATGTTGATCAACTAAAGGCCGGAGTGAGGACTACAGTATCTCAAGTTCTCGTTAAATTTCTACCTCTCTATAGGACTGGAATAAAGCTCATTAAGTGAAGCTGAGTCCTGCTCTTTCAGAGACTAAATCAAGCGAGAACATGGATACAGCCATTAGTAAGCAGAAATCGGTAACTAAGACACAATGAATGATGAAAAACCTCTGACTTGCGGGCGAGGAGGCCTTGTGTGAGCAGAAGAGCTCATGAACGCTGCAGGAGCCCAGGCAAAAGTAAACCCCTCGGCAGACTGAGGCTCAAAGCAATGCATATCACCTCTCTCCATCAGTCCTGTGGAAGCCAGGATCTTGGTTCCCCTTACCATGTGGGAGAGAAGTGATATCAGCTGGTCTGATAGCAGGTGGCAGGAAGATGTTTCAGGAAGATGGTCTGGTTAAGAATTTGGGAAGAAGGAGTAAGATATGATATCTCGTAGGGCTAGATGACCCACCAGGCAGCCCGAGCTCTGCTTAGGGTACCCATAAAGGAGGTGTCAACTCTCCTGTTCACGCTCCTCTCAAAAAAGAGAGGAAGGGAAAAAGAGAGATACATAGGTATAGGCTGTGTGTAGGACTCATGGAAGCACCATATACTTTTATTGCTTGGGGTCCCTAAAAGTCACAGTGCGGCCTGACACTGCTGTGGGTGTGGTGTCTGCGATCAACATGGAAACTGGCGCCACCACTGCCCACAGCGAGAATTCCATTTGTGGGGCCTACCCTGCGCTGGGGGCTTTTCACACATTATTTCCGAGCATCCTGACAACCACCAGATGACGTTGGCTGTAATCAGTTCGATTCACAGGTAAGGAACATGAGGTCTGTGGTCCTTTGAAGTGGTGGGACTGGAATTCAAACTCGGCCACCAAAGCTCTGCTCCGTCCAGGGCACCAGGACTCGACGACTACATGGCTACTGAGTTCATTTACGGGGGAAGGGAAGAGGACCCTCAAGTGGGTAAGGCATGGGGGCGGGAGATATTGGCTGGGAAGCCAGCGATCAAGCAGTTTTGTTGTATTAATTCCATGCTTGAGTTCCACAGCTGGGCCAGTGAGTTTGCAAGTTACCTCTTCAACAGTAGCTCAGCTACCCAGAGTGCTTGATAGGAAAAGGGGCAAGGGCGAGGCTAGTCCTCCTCAGCCTCTCACAGGAGAGAAATATGGTTTCCTCCAGCTCCTACAGACAGGTTCCTGAGGCTATCTGCAGATGGAGCCTTCAGGCAAGCTGATTTAAAATGCTTCCAAACGGATATCGTGCTTCAAAGAGTAGGCCCCGTGGGGCAGACGCTGAACCTGAGAACTGGAAGAGGCCCCGGGGGCTGGAATTCAGGCCCTGCCCTCCACCCCCAGGCCCGGAGGGTTTGTTTAACCCCTCAGGGGTGCTGTGTGCCCTCCTTGTCGAGGTGGTTTGTGGCTTCACCAAGTGATATTTATAGAGTGCACTGTGATTCTTGGGCGAATGTTCGTTTTATAAATGAATGATCAAATTTATTAGCAATGAGTAACTAACCCGTCTACATTTATTTTGTTGATAATACAAATTTACAAGGTTTTAATTGCCAGTTTTAAAACCCCAAAAACCCATACATGAATACGCCGGCAATAAAATATCTTCTCACTGTGCCCTTGACGTCCGCAGTCACATGAGGGCTTGGGGAAGTCTGAAGGAGCTTTCAGAGGGAATCACAAAACTCGCATAAGAGGACTCAGGGCCAGAAAGAGTCTAATTCAAGCCTGGCCAATGGCAATTTCATACGTTTTAACGAAAATGCAACTAACTGATAATAGTTATTAATAATTTCCTTTGCAACGCTTATAAATGGTAATAACAACTTCCTTTTATTCCTTCTGTTATCTCATTCATTGCCCCATGACTTGGCCCCTCCGAGTGTGGTCGCAGGGCAGCCGCACCAGTGCTGCCTGGCGGCCTGTTAGAGCTGCAGGAGCTTGGGCCACCTCAGACCTGCTGAGTCTGAATCATGGGCAGTAATATCCCCAGGCGATTTGGGTCCACATTGCAGTATGTGACTGGCTGCATTCTGAGACAGGTATAGCCTCACCCACTTCACAGTCAGGGAAACTGAGCTCCAGAGAGGTTCTGTGCACAGGCCACTGTCCCAAGTCAAGCTGAACTTGAACCCAGTCTGCTGCAGGCAGACCTCTTGACTGTAAGCCGCACGCTGCAGGTGTGCGAGGCCACGAGAGTCCAGCAGCATGGGCTTGCGGGGACAGTGATGACAGTCCTGGGCCCCCAAAGTAGTGACTTCACTGGGCTCAGGTCCATGGTTGTGTACTCAGCTGTTTGTGCCCACATTCCTTAGAGCTGGTGTGGGGGGCTCGTGCCGTTCAATCTCTGCATGATGCACCTCAGAGAACCAAGGGACGTCTTGAGGCTGTGACCAATGGTGGTCTCTTTTCACATTTTCCTTTGGGGATAGAAATGATGGTTTACTTATTGCTTAAGAAAAAATGATCTATTTTAAAACAGCAATCTGAGCCCCAGAAAGTCAGAGAATGTCTGAGGCCAAAGTGAAGTAGTCAATTGAGTATATGCATTAACAGCAATTAACAAATATTTATTGACTGTTTCCCATGTTTCAGGCACTGTCCTGAATGCTGAGAATTGAGTAGGGGCAAAAACTAAGTCCTGACCACAAAGAAGAAAGACATTAACAAGTAAGTTGACTTGAGCTGTCCCTGGATCTCTCCACCAGACTCAAAAGGAAGTCAAGTCAAATCTTTGCCTTCAGTATTGAACTGGATGCAAATGGCAACTGCAGCACGATCCATGCAAATTTCTCAAACTACCTGAGCTCCCTATTTCTCTGTTATTGCAGTCCTATTATCTGAATCTATTCTACCCTGAATGTATATACTTTATCCAAGGCAGGAAGTCTCCATCTGTCAAGGTGAGCATTGTTCATGTTAGTCAGGGTCAGTTTCTATACTGAAGAGAAAGAAAGTTATTGGGGTACATGGAGGCTGGCCTATTTGGACATATCTCCTACAAGGCACTCTTCTAGCACTGAACTCAGCAACCCCAGACTCCATTTGCCTACATGTTGAGTGGATGGGTAAATAATATCCCCTTTCATGATGCTAAGGAGTATGTGAGTTGGGTGACCAGAAATATATGGGTGCTTTAAGAAATAAACTGGTCTGTATTCCTACGTAGATCTCTCTTTTTTTTTAACCTACTGGCAGCACTGTTTTAAAACCACCCTCTCCTTCTGTACTTTGTTGCAATCATTCCGAGTACCTAACCCTTCTAAATTTATGACCTGTCATCTTCAACTTTCCCCTAAGGGCAAAAGTTCCTCCTGCCATTGAGTGCCATTTTCAAAGAGTTGCATATTGGCTGGGGGAAGACAGACTGACTCTTCCAGTGGAACCACAAGTAGTCGGATTTATGTGGGCCAAACCTCATCCAAGGCTCTGAAAACTACCCCTGGAGGCTCTGAGGTGGGGGCAAAGACAGAAATTCTTCACAATTGCCCTTTGTTTTTAATTTTATTAGAAATTACTTTAGCTTTATTGAATGAAGAGGAATTTAGGGATATGGTTTCATCTTTCTGGGTGTTCCCTTATTAGATTCTTACAGCCTAAACCAACCCAGGCCACCCAATAAACAAGACTAGGATGCCTGAGTAAGCAACGGGTTCTGTCCTTTCATGGATTCAAAATATGATTATAGAGAATCCACCAGTCTCAGTTGCTGGATTAAAAAATGAGCAAGTCCAAGAGGTTCCCTCCCTGCCCTCAAGGTGGACAATGGCAAGTGTCAAACTCAGTGGTGAGGGGCAGCATCCCATGGTTCAAACATGGATATCTGCCCTTCTGTATGGTGGTTGGTTCTGGATGTTTGTGGATTTTCTGGGAAAGGGAACTTTTGGGATGAGGCAGATGCCACAAAAGGTATCTATGATATCAGTTAGAATGTCTCACGTTATAGAATGAAGGGATATTTATTTTTTATCTTTGTTTCTCTAGCACTGAATGACAAGACAAACATCATCTCCACCCCAAATAGAGCTTATAACACATTAGGTAGGAGTGGTATAAAAACAAAAAATAATATAGCATTGCAAAATGTGAAAACTACTTTGAAATGACAAATGTATTATTTTCATAGACGTTTCCGTTTCTACTACAAGTTGCAGCTTCCATGTGTGTGAAACCCCCGAGTAAGTCCAGGGCTTTTGAGAAAGAGCAAGATCAGAGAACAGGGGCATCAGGTTGACAGAGGAGGAAGTGGTTGAGTGAGTAATCCAGGAAGACCTCCCCTGAAGACATGGCACTTTGGTTGTGACTAAAGAATCAGAGCTCAGCCATGGGGTGGGGAGGGGCCACAAGCAGCGGGTTCATGAGCAGACAACGAAATGCGCGAGGGCCCCAAACGGGTCGAGAACTGGGTGTTGTCTGAGAATAGCAAGAAGGCCCATGCGGCCGCACTTGCACTGCGGTATCAGAGAGGACAGTGAGCTGAGCTGCTGTCGGAAAGGAAGCGAGCAGCCAGATCGCACGGGCTGTGTAGCTCACTGGCCAGCACTGGCGCCACCTGCTCTGATAGCAGCCCTCTGGCAGCTGCATGGGGAACGGAGCGTGGGGGGTGGCCTGGAGACAAGGGTGCACTTCAAACGCTGTTGAAATAGTTGAGATCAAAGATGGCCCAGACCATAATGGTGGAGCTGAAGAGAAGCAATCCAACATTTACTTGGAGTATTGGAGTCCATAGGATTTGCAGATGGAGTTGATGACAGAGAATTTGTCAAGGGTGCTGTCAGAGTTTTAGTTTGAGGTCTTGGGTGGATGTGTGGACCAGTTAACTGAGGTCAGCTAAGATTTCAGGAGGGGCCGGTCTCAGGGAGAGGCCAAGTGGCAGCAGAGGACCCCATCCTGGAAGCATGGCTGTGCAGAGATGCAGAAAAGCTGCCACGCCAAAGTGCTACTGTCGCTCTGCTTTGGCGCATCAGAAAATAAAACATCTTGAGTGATTATTGATGCCTGCCGTGAGCACAGGACACCACAGGGTGAGAAGTTACGGCAGATTTGTTGGGTACTTGCCATCCTTGCCTATCCGATACAGAATGATGCCTGGACACAGGACGGGGTGTGTTAGTGAACCTGGTCCGAAGCCCTTCTTTTGCCAGGCACTATTACAGAAACTGTCAGGGCATGTTGAGTGACTGGTTGACAGGGACAAATTGCACTGTTTTTCTTCAGGTTTTAATGCAAGTATTATCAATGAAGCCAAAAAGCATATTATTTTAGAGTGGTAAGTGTGCATTCTATGAAGATGGTACAGATGTCCATGGGTGGGAAGACCCAGGCTTACTCTGGAGTCTGGAGTTTTATACACATAACAACTTTCAGTAAAATGAGATGTCCATAAAAATTTGCAACTACAGGATAAATATTCTAGTCACAAATCTTTTTATTTTTTTAATACTTGACTAAAAGGAGTCTTGTGTATTGCACTTGGAAGGTTTTAGCTGTGGACTGCTGAGGGTGATACTCTTTTGATGGGAATAGTACCTCAATTCCAGAGCTCATCTCAAATAGCGTTGGGTCCAAGGCCAAGTGCCTTGTGTCATTGGCCGGTCACACCATACCGAGAATGCCCATTACAAACATATCTTTATTGCATTTTATCTCTTTCAAGCAGCAATACTTTTTGGCAGCTGGAGTTGCTTCTCTGGATCCAGTTAGTGGCTATAAAGGAGGCTCGGGTTTCTGGCGGGCAATCAGAGCACAGGTGGAGCTGGCCTGTGCACCCCAGCAGCCTCCTGGCCTAGGCTAAGTGGGGATTTAGTGGAACTCCTTGGGATTTGTCAGGGGAAAAATCACGTTTCCAGTGGGAAGGAAGTAAATCCAGAATCCCGGAAGGGAAAGGCAGCTTATACTAATAGTCTCTTACCTCTGTACTGGGCTTTGCATTTCACACTATGTATATATATTATTCTATGTGGTTCTCTGTCCCCTCACCCCCCAATCCTGCGAGTTATATACTATCCTCATTTTACAGATTTGGAAACCAAGGTGTACAAAGAGAAGGTGACTTTACCAAAGCCACAGACTAATAAATGGGACTTATGTTCAGGTCTGACTTCAAGTCTAACCTTCAAAGGCAAGCTTCAAGGGAAGTGCGAAAGAACTGAAGTCTATTGCATTTTACCTCGCGCTGGCACAGTGCAGAGCTGAGGCAGAAAGAAGAATTATTAGGAAATACCGTTTGCAACTTCATTTGTCGTATCTGACAGTACTCAGAAGTTATGAGATTTAAAACAAATAAACATAAACGAATGTCACAGGGATTGAAAATGATACTAGCTTTTACAGATACCTTCAGTCATATCTAGTGACAATGCGAGAATGACCTAGAGCAGGGTCAGCAGACTTTGGCCCCGGGCCAAATGCGTCCCACTGCCCGTGTTGTGCGTGGCAGGCAGGGCGCCTTAGCGCGGGCCGCGTGGTCTGGCTGCTCGGGCCGCAGGCTGGCGCGGGGACGCGGCTCGCTCGGGAAGCAAGGCACGTCTACTGTCTGGGCCTTCACAGAGGGTGTGTTGACCCCTAATGCAGCGGCGCTTTTCTTCCTGACTTGAATCGGACTCATCCTTGAAGATTTTTTAGAATAGGAATCACAGTGAAGAGCAGACAGCCGACTCGGAGTATGCACGCCCTCGGCACCCACAGCGCGAGCCTAGGTCTCCGTGGCTCGCTCCCACGGACGCGGCGCAGCCGCTAGGGAACGCGGAAGGAGACTCCATCCATGAGATGTCTGCTGGTGGCACCCGCCATCGATGGGCAGGGGGTGCAGAGCTCACGCGGGTTAGCTGTCACAGACAGCCCGCGTCCGGTGTCCGCCTTGCGTGCCCGTGCCACAGCCCGGTGTGGGCGCGCCGCGCCACCGCAGCGGTCCAGGGACCCGGCGCCCCGCGGCGGGCGGGCTCTGCCACCGTCGGACAGCCAGGGCCCTTCGCGTCTAGCCAGAGAGGAGCGCATGGGCAGCCGGCTCTCAGAGGCCGCCCCGGAGCCGGCGCCGCTCCCGCCCGCAGGGTGTGGGGACAGCGGGTGCCTGTGCTCCTTGCGCGGGAGGCCTGGGCCGCGCAGTTACAGGCGTTCCAAAGAGGAGAAACGTGAATGCCGGTGATGAACTAACCGGATTTTGTCTCAATGGTCTGTGGGTCTAGCCAGATAAAGTGTCTGGCTAGGTTTCCATGCTGCTTGGCTGAGGAGTCTCCTGCCTCCCTCTCTCCCTTCCTCCCCCCCTTCTTTTCCTTCCTCCCCTGCTTCCCCCCTTCTCTCTCCCTTGCTCCCTCCTGCCCTCCCCCCCTTTCTAATCTGTTTATAGCCTATTTATATAGCCTGGTCCATTGTGGTAGCGAGTACAAAATAGAATGTTAAGAACTAGTCCCTGTCCTGTGTTATCTGTGTTTCCAATTCTACCTACATTGATAGAGGAAAAAATTAAAAATAAATAAATGTAAGAATCCTACCTCTAATACAGCAACAGTGATACCGGAGGAGCCTGGGCACCATGATTTAAAGCGGAATGGATCAGGAACATTTGGCTTATGTATGTGTGAGTTTAAAGTGGTATTTAATTAAAAAGTTGCAAGCTCACGAAACAAAGGATTTTGTTTGGCTCTCCCTTGTACAATTCCAGTTTCTAGGAAACATTAACTTGTGATTTATGGGTTCCCTTTTCACAGAAGTATGGAAGTTATATGTAGCTCATGTTTGAATGAGAAATAAAAAATCCCTGATGGTAACTCATTATCTGTCCAGCTAACAAAGGACAAAGGACAAATCCGGAACATCTTGCTTTGCCATTTCAAATTTATGACATACCCCGTTGGTAGAACATTATTCTCAGGGCAAGCTCTGGAGTTTATTATTTTTTGTCTTCTCATTCTTCATGACTGCATCATTTTTTAAAAATGCTGGGCCAGATGGAAACTTTCTTCCTTTTGGGTCATGGGTGGAGAAGACCGTGTGAAGCCGGGTGGCCCGCAGCCCCCTTTTCAGAGCAAGATGGTTGCGTTTCTTCACAGTGCGTGGGTGTGGCATGGCCTTGTTGGGTTTCATTCCAGCAAGTGTCCTGGTTAGGGGCACAGGTTGTGGTGGAGGCACTGTGAGCTCCTTTGAGAGTTACTTCTCACTCCTCGTGGGCGTTTCATCACCTGAAATCATTTGTATTTATGTCAGTCGATGTGCGTTGTCTGACTGTCTGCCTCAGAGGGCCTGCAAGCGTGGTGAGGGAAGAAGGGGTCTTTCTTTGCTTATTCATTGCTGTGCCCTGAGAGCCTAAAAAGGGCTAGGCACATGATAATGACCCTAAATATTCAGGGAAACGGAGAAGGAAGAACTGAGCAAATGAGTGCATCGGGGCAGGAAACAGATGACAGGCATCTCTTACCCCCACCCAGTGTCTAAGGAGAAGAGCAACGGACCCTGAGACTTGTGCCCCTCACCTGAGAGCAGTCACCTCCCATTGAGTGGGGGCCATGCACTTGTCACCACTGATCGCTCTGGAAATGTTCCAGCAGAATGTAGATGATAACATCGCGTTCCATCGACTGAAACACTGATGAGAGGAAGCACCAATAAATCCCTAATTTGTCCCTCATGGAGAAGAGCAGTTATTGTCTGTTTAGACGTCTTAGTTCCTATAATCCCATTCTAGTCTATGGACAGTGGACTCGAGAAGTACTGTGGGGAAGGCCATATTTTCAAAGAAAAATATTTGTTCTTCTAGATTTCAGTTATGAAATTCCCTTCTTAATAGGAACCAAATCAATGAGATGCCCGAAATGAACATTCCACGTCCCTCCTGCCTGCTTCCAAGGATATTCATCCATCCTGGCACTGGTCGGGTCCCTGGGAAAGACTCAGACATGGACCCAGAATCTGTCCCTGCTCCCGTGTGCTGGTGAAGCTCGGCCTCCGGCGCTCCAGCCCAAAGGCAGCGAGAGGGCGGTGCCCCGCACAGGGTGTGCCGAGTCCTCCCGATCGGAGCCTCAGCCTCAACTCCTGCCGGCTGCAGGACTGTTAGCCTCTGAATGCCAGTTTTCTTATCCAGAAAATGAGGGTCATGCTGGCACTGCACTTCTTAGTGTGGCAGGGAGGATTCGATAAACAGGGCTCTGCAAGGGGGAGCATAACGTGGGCATAGTAGGAGCTCTGCCCGTGTTATTAACTGTTGCCATATTTATTATTATTCCAGCTCCACGAGGAATCCTGAGGATGGCTGAATTTTTTATAGAATATTATAGAAGAGATTAGAGTATCATATCATAGGTTGAAATGTATAAACTAGGGTATTGTCAATTCATAGAGTCTATGTCTTCTATGTCTCTTTGATTTTCCGTCTCATTTTAGAAAGGGCTTACTAAAAAATTAGTCATTTTTCAAATTCTTTCCTAGCAAGTCTGAACAGTCATGGTTTGTGGTATAATAGAAAATATTTGGCCTTTGTCCCAGGTGCTAGCACACAGTTCCTAAAAACCCCTGGCATCTCCAGGGTGATGAGTGTCTTTTGTATGCTAATGAGAACACTGGTGGCTGAGGATCCCCTAGGTAGCTTCAGGATGGGGACTGGTTTGCCAGAGTGACCATACCAAGGGATTAGGTAATTGGTCTTTCAGCCCTATCTGGCCAGAGATCAACTTCAATCACCAATGGCCAATCATTTAATTAGCCATGCCTCTGAGAAGAAACCTCCATAGAAGCCCCTAAATGGTGAGGTTCAGATTGCTTCTGAGCTGGTGAGCACAATGAGGCACTGGGAGAGTGGCATGCCTGGGGTGGGCATGGGAGCTTCCCAACCCTCCAGCCCCCATACCTTGCCCCTTGGAGTCTTCCACTTGGCTGTCCCTGAGTTGTATCCTTTACAGTAAGTGAGTACATGTAAGTGCAGAGTGTTCCTGAGCTCTGTACGCCATTCTAGTAAATCACCAAACCGGGGAGGGGTCATGGGAACCCTGGATTTATAGCCAGGTGGTCAGAAGTGCAGTTGGCCTTGGCCGTGCAACTGATGTTCGAAGTGGGGGCAGCCTTGTGGGACTGAGCCCTAACCCATGGGGGCCATGCCCTGGTGGGGTCTGTCAAAATGATTTGGATTGTTAAACACCCGGTGAGTGTCTGCAGAGAGTGGAGGAATTGGCGTCAGGAGGAAAAGAGCAGCCTCTCATCTGGCGTCAGGCGTGCCGTGAGCGCAAACGGCTCGCGGCCTGTCACACCGCCAGGCCCGATGGCATCGCCGGGGTCTCATCCAGCACAGCCGTCAAGGTCTGAAGGGGGCAGAGCGCCGGGCAGCTGACCCCCGCCTCGCAGCGCAGAGCAGACACGCGATCGTCCGGCGCTCCTGCCCCAAGTCCAGGCCCCCACGGGTGAGCGCGGGCCCTGGGCGTCTCTCAGCCGATTGGACAATGACACCTTTTCCTTCGCAGCTGAAGGAGGCCCTGAGAAACGCAGCCTTTAGTTCTGGTTGAGCCACTAGCCAGCTGTCTGGCATTTAACCTTGTCTTTTAATACCATGAAGCTTACGTTTTATTGAAGCTCAAATAAACATTCGCCATCAAAGTACATGGGAAGATTGACAGAAAGGAAAGTTGAGGTTTTATGATGACTCAGCCCCCATGGAAACAACCTTCGAGTTCTTGAGAGAATCGGCTCAGAATCCCATTTCATGGCTGGTGGTAGGCACGTCTGCCCTGCAGACTCCCCGAGATTGTTGTGACTTCCTGAGGGGCCCTGTGTTGTCTTAGTCAGGTTGGTCCCACAGCTGCTGCTTCTGGTTAAATGTTATCTCTCATGCCCAGTCCTCATGGGATGTGCTGACCTGGCTAAGGGGCCTCCCTAGCCCTCTCTCTAAATCCACACCCCTCCCCCCAGCACACACCTCCCCTGCCCGCCTGTGTGAGTTAGTCAAGCCTGGGCAGATGGAAGTGGGTTCTATATTGGTCATCCCTGTTCTCTAAATCCATTTGGCTACTTTAGATGTCCTCTCCTCTTCTCCCCTTTCCTTCTCTTCTCCTCCCCTGTCTTCCTTCCTTCCTCCCTTCTTTCCTCCTTCCTTTTACTTTTTAAAAACGTATCATACCACCTCTCAGAGCTCTCA